CTGATCATGATTTTAGCAGTTTCCAGTGCCTTAAAGAGCAATCAGAAGCACCAGTATCATGGGAGTATTTTTCAAATTATCTTTTACCACCCAAAAAAGTAGGTGTGACCAAAATCGCGGCCAGCTTCACACCCTCGGCCTCAGCATCCCCCTTTCCCAATTTCTAGATACGCCCCTGTAGTTTGTTTCTTTTTAATATTAGATAGTATTTCAGTGATGATGCATGTTTACATTTTGTCACATAGTGAATAAATAAGTGGATGCATATAGAGTCAGATACATAATTTATAAAATCACTTAAGATATCAATCAATTAATTTTGGGTACATGTAACTCACATCATCACCCCATCCCTTTTCTTGATGAGAAGGAACAAGCCTAAATAAAGTTGCTTCAGAATTTCCTTTATCAAGCCATGCCTGTGAAAAGATAATTTGAGAGCTCACTAACAATTACTGACTGAATCAGTAGGAGTAACAGCTAAATATCTGCCAGATGCCTGCATGATGTTGAATCTATAAAATTTGAATTTTTATCAGTGCCATAAAATTCTGTGACTAACCCTGATGATACTACCATAAACAACAGTCATAGGTTCAGCATTTTCTGCAATAATATGATCATGACAATAACTATTTTTGTAAAGTAAGATCAAATAAATATTGATTATTGTTTAGCGCACCTTTGATGTTTAACACTTTGCAGTTTTCCGTGACTAATAAGAAATGCAGCAACTAAACAAATAAATTGATTTAAAAAGTAGGCACATTTAAATTTATATTGATATTAAGAGTGTAGGAAAAATAAACTTTGACAACTTGCAAATGTCTTCATAAATTTTGGCATTATAGTTTTGAGCATGATAACTTGATGATACAGAAATATTTTTAAAACAACAACAAACAAAAAAGAATAATCTTAGGGCATAATAATAATTATTATTATTATTATTATGAATAGGTTACAGACAGAGCTCCCCTAGCCCCCACCTGTCGTGGACAATTTTCTCTGTTTAAATTTGGGTTTGGGTTTGTTTTGTTTCATTTTTTGTTCAGATGTTTTATCATACTGTACATGCAGCTGGAAATATTTGTGGGGAATTAAACTTTGCAAGTTGCAGATCCATCAAAAGCCCAAAATTTAAATCCACAAAATAATGAAATTCATGCATGACTACAGTACATTATTTTTCTAAGTTTTTAAAACATTTAAGTCAAGACAGTATGTTTTTAAGACACCGGGCTGACAGAACTTGGTTCTGAGTATTGACTGCATGAACTGAAGGATATAAAGAAAAATGAATTACTAGTTAAACTATTCAATGTCAATGATAAACAAGAAAACTAAACCTCAGACACACAAAAATTACTAGTGATGCATCCACTTCATCATGTAACAAATCCTCAAGTTGTATTGTGCGTTGTTTTTCTTTCTTTCAGTCTTGTGTGTTAATTCCTCAGTTGTGTTGCATCCAATTTTGGAGTTAGACCTTCAACACTATATTAGATTTATATCTCCTTTTTTATGTTTTTATTCTTGTTATTGCATGTCAGTTGTTAAGTTAATAATGCTATGAATTAAAATAATAAACAATAGCCTAAACCATTATTTTGGGTTTGGTTTTGTCATTTTGTCTTGTAAAATAAATTGTTTATTAAATTTTCAATTTGACAGTTGTTTGTTTATAAGTTAGTTGTTGTTGTCTTTGCAGCAATGATAGAGGATGTAACAGCAACAAAAATACTGTCAATATTATTATAAGCCACAGAATCAACAATTCATCATGAAAAATAATAACATAATCTGGCAAATAATGTCCCAGAAAATAGGTT